GTCTAACACACTATTGTCTAGCCCTTTCCACAAAAATAGCATGATTTGCTAAAATCAAGGGTAACTAGATCTATAACATTCTCCTGATCTACCACATAAATAATCTTGCCAAAAGAAAAAAAAAAGAAAAAGAAAAGGCTAGGCTAAATGCCTAGCTTTATGGCTGCTGGGACCTACCGCATCCAAGGAATTGAACCCTATCATTTAACGAAGAAAAATAGTTAACCAAAATTAATTAAAATGAAGATGCTGACAGTTTGTAGTCATTGAAGAACTAGAACTAGAACTTTATGATATCCATTTTTTTTGCTTGCCAGAGGGTTTCAAAGATAAGCTAAAATAAAGAATCTTTTAATAGATCTATTAGTTTTTCATTAATATCCTATTTCATTAATATCCTACGATCATGATAAAAAAAAATTCCATCATCAATGGAGCTAAAAACTTTTGATCTGAGCTAAGATAATGGAATTACATTATGTCTTTCACTATGATACAATATCACGTTGGCAAGTACCCTCTCAAGCTTAGATAATAAAATGGCTACTCTTTACTCAAGTAAGATCCCTTGCTTTGGATTACTGGCCCCATCTATACTAAGTAAACTTGGTTTGAGGACCCATGAAAAAGGAAAAAAAATAGTTATCACAAGCACATTTGATAGGGTAGGGAGAATAAAATATTACTTCTTATGATATGATAGTGAAATCACTTGATTGATACCTGTTCACTCTTTTAAAGTACATATGTAAACAATGATCATTTGTTTGTCTAGGTGATGTTACAAATAACTAGATGAAGTTAGCTGTAAAGCAAATTCCCTCCCACAAAACAAAAGAAAGTACTAGTTGAGACAGCTCTTTAAAATAGGGTGTATTCCTGGTTTAGATAGCTCAGGATTATTTTTATGGATTTTCACTGTCATTATTAAATGGCATCTTAATTCCCTGTCAGAACTATATATAATTGAAATTATAAGAAACTTTTAAAAAATTGCATTACTGATTACTCAGGTTTCCAAAAAATTTAAGATCGAAAAGGGCAGTATCAACCATTTTCATCAATGACAACAGCTAACATTCATAAAGTGCTTTAAAGTTTACAAAAGCTTTACATCCATTATTTCATCTGATTACAAATGAGAATGTTCCAGTTTATTTTTACTATAATCAGTTAGCTAACAAGCATTGTATTAAATGCTTACTATTTGTCAGGTCAGCTAGATGGCTCAGTGGATAAAGCACAGGGCTGAGAATCAGGAAGACCTGAGTTCAAATCTGGCTTCAGATACTAACTAGCTGTGTGACCCTAGGGGCAAGTCACTTAACCTCTTTTTGCCTTAATCCACTGGAGAAGGAAATGGCAAATCACAATATCTTTGCCAAGGAAACCCCATGGATGGTACTGGTGTGCTTCATGACCACAGGGTCACAAAGAGAGGGACGTGACTGAACAATTGAACAACAATGTGTCAGGTCTGTGCTAAGTGATAGAACCAGAAAGAAGAGCAAAAATATGGCCACTTCTCTCAAGGATCTTACATTCTAATGGTGGAGACAACATGCAAATAACTATGACTATTCAAGATGTGCAGTATAAATGGAAAGCAACAGAAGGTGGGAGAATGAGACACATGATCTTTGAAATGACTAAGTAAACACAAATTCCAAATTAACGAGAATATATTACTTTTTCATGGTAATTTTAATGCCATTTCTTCAACAGTAAAAATATTTCTTAGCAGAGTTTAGTGTTCCATTTTTAAAGATATATTTAATAACAATCCTATTTTAAAAGGAACAGTGAAGGTCTTAATAAAGGTATTAATCTGCTTCATGAGTATCAAATATTATATACCAGGAACATCTATTTTCTTCTCTATAAAGAGATATATTATTCCTGAGTCACATGACTAACAAAACTGAAGATTAGACATTTTCTTTAGTCACTATTAATTCTCAAAAAACCCCAAAGGAGGGATTACAAGTCATAGGCAGAGCAATTACAGCTGAATCCACAGGACAAAAAAGTTAATGAGTCTTAACAAGGTAATTGCTTAGGAATCAACAGTTGAAAATGCTAATCTATAATGCCCTCTCTTAATGGCCCTTCCCCTATCAGCCTCCATATTCCAAAAAGGCACATTTTCAACCCAGAGGCATATGCTTTGGGACGCACTAAGGGATTTTCTTTCTCTTATAGAAACTGTCAGAACACCCACCCATGTCCTTCTTCCAGCACCTTGCTGCAACTACCCGCAAGTCTCGGGTCAAACAATAAAGAAAAGATAAGTCCTGTAGTCTCTCAGTAACAGATAGAGTGACAAGTGAATGGAGGAGGTGGAAAAAGGAAAGGAAAGAAATGATAGAATGAAAGGTAGAGGTCTGCCATACAGTGGAGGCAGGGTCCCATTAAAGAACACACCCACTGCAGAAATTATATTCTATAATGGGAAATGTGAACTAATGGGTCTAATATTGAACGAGTTGGTATAGAAGTAGATTATTTCCTCTGAGAGAATGTTGTGCTTCTACAGACAACATCCTGCCCCAAGAAAAGGAAAATGTTAAGCTCCTAGGGGCAACTGGATACCCAGAAAGGTGAACAGAGAAGCAGCCTTTGGACCCACATAATTGATTACATGGTAAATTGGAAAGAGTATAATTGAGTGTGTGTGTGTGTGTGTGTTGTGTGTGTGTGTGTGTGTGTGTGTGTGTGTGTGTGTGTGTGTAGGGACAGGAATAAAACTGGACCACAGGATTTGGGACATATGGAAATTTCTGTCTCTAGTGCCATTAGGCAATGCCTATAGCTGAATTAGATCCCTCATAAAGAGGTGCTTCTGAGAGTAAAGTACAACAAAAAAAAGGGGGCAAGATCTAACAAGGCAATAACACAGAAATTGGCTAGAAGAGGGTATTCAAACTTAATACTTCAGAAACTGAATTCCATGAGAAAGAGACAGGCTAAAGAAGGAATAAATAAGCATTCACACCAAGAATCAAAGAATAAAAGTCAGAATATACATAAAAAAGGGAATTAATGAAGAGAACAAGATAAAGAAATTCTTCTTGGAAAAAGACATAAAAGAAAAAAGCTAACAAATAAAAGAAGTTGGAGAGAAATAATAGGAGATGGAGAAAAATTTTTGAACAAACCATTTAACTGAGAAAGGAAAAGAGGGGAAGAACTGGATTATAAGTAAAGAAATCCTTAGAAAAAGACACAGAAGAAAAAACAAACAAAAGAAGTTGTAGGGAAGGACAGGAGGTAAGGAGGTGATTTGGAATAAACCATGTACCTGAGAAGGGGTGGGATGAGAAAAAAGGGAGAAGAATTAGATTACTAAGTGAAGAAAGAAAAATAAAATAAATCAATACATTAAGTATAACTAGAGAAAAAGCTAAGGCTAAGGCTAAGGTTGGGAACAAGGAAGCCTAGAGGAAAAGGACTGCCTTACAGTAGATGAAGAAAAATAACTGAAGGGTAAAAGAATTGACTTCAATGAGGAACAACAACAACAAAATTCTAATTGAGGAAAAAAATAGTAATTGAGGAATTACACAAATGGAAGAAAATATAAAACTATTATAGCATTAAATGTAACTAGATTAAAAAATCCAGTGAAATGAGAAGGGCAGATTGAATAAGAAAACAAAATACCACTCTCTGTTGCTTACTAAAAACATATTTAATAACCAAAAACATACATGAAATAAAAATGAGACCCTTCAATAAAATTTACTGTGCATCAGTTGAATAAACAAAGAAACCAAGAGTTATAATCATTGTAATCAGACAAAGCCAAAACAACTCAATACCAATATTGAACTTTTATATTCCAAATGGCAGTGTCTGAACTCATAAAGGAAAACTTAACTGTACTATAAGAAGACAAACATAGTAAGACAATAACTAGAGACTTTAATGTTTATTTCTCAGTGAAAAATTTAACATAAATGTAAGTAAAAGGAAAATAAAAAACTGGACAAATTACTAGAGAAATTAGAATTAAAAGACTTATAGCAATTTCTAAAAGGTTCATTATAAAATGTTATCTTCTTTAGTATCATATGGCAGTTTCGCAAATACTGATCACATATCAAGGTCCAGAGATATTGCAAATAAATATAACATGGCAGAAATACTACATGCAACTTTTAAAAATCATAAAATGATAAAAATAATAATCAATTCGGAAAGAACAAACAAAATACATGGATCTAAATGAAGACAATAATAAAATCCCAAATAAGGAATAAGTCAAAGAATAGCACATAGAAACAATAATTATGTGAAAGAAGATGGTAACAATGAAATAACATACCAAAATTTATGAAATGTAGCTAAAGTAATCCTTAGTGGAAAAATACATACATTAGCAAAACATAAAAGGGATGATTAATGAACTGAATATGCATTTTTAAAAAATTAGAAGCCAAAACAATAAACTATCTCAAAATAAGCACAAGAGAAAATCTCAAAAAGTAGAGATACAAACTGAAAAACAAAAAGACTATACTGATAAAACTAAAATGTAATTCTTTGAAAAGACTAGCAAAAATGATAAACCTTTAACCAGCAATATTTTCAAAAAGGCAGAAAATAAAAAAAAAATAGCAAATGAATAAAGTTAAACAACAAAACCCAAGGAAATAAAAAGAATAATCAGAACACGGCACAGTTATATCGCAATGAAAGATGGAATTACCCTCAAAATTATAAAATACTCCATGTAGCATAACACCAAATAGAAATCTAAAATAATCCAATCTCAGAAAAAGAAAGAACTACCTATAAAGTAACTACCTGGTTCTGATGGATCTAGAGGACAATACTATCAAAATTTCAAAGAACAATTAACACCAATACTACACAAATTATTCTCAAAAATTTAGAAAGTACTCTAACAAATTCCCTTTATGAGACAAAACACAATAATAACTATAAAAATCACACAATAAAAACTAGTAAATGTTTTCCTCTGTTTACCAGCTTACCCAGTTTGACTGCGCCATCTGGTGGGTATTCAGGAAACTGACCCTCAGAGGGGACACTCACAGTTCTCCGTAGGCATCTCCCTTTGGTAGAATCTGTCTGCTGCTCCTGTCCCCCCTCCACTGGTATCTAGGTTAAACAACAAAAAGGACACTTAATGGTGGATCGTATTTAACTACATCATAACTAAACAAAATCATCATTAAAGAAAGTGGAGTACTCAGAAAGATCAGTAGAAAAAATGTAGCATGGTTTAATAAGTAAGGTCACACAACATTGTGGGTTCATTTTTCAGAGGTTTATGTAGGAAGGAAGAGTATTCCACATAAGGAAAATTAAGTATGTAAACACACACATGCACACATACATACACTCTTTTATCCCATGGCCTACAAATATTCAGAAAAGTAAAAAAAGCATAATTTTCCAGAAAAACCATAGCATTTCCAAAACAATATCATATTTTAGAGAGGAGAGTGGGTATCCTTGCTTTACTCCCATATTTATTGAGAAATAGGTTCTATGTAAATCTGTTATATGTGATATTTTCATGACATTAAAAATGGTCTGCTATATTTATGATATAAAGAGTTTTAAGCATAAATGAGTGTTGTACTTTGTCAAGGGCTTTTACTACATCTATTAAGATATTCTTGTAGTTTTGGACATTTGGTTTTTAATATGAATATTTATGTTGATTATTTTCTTGATATTGAACCATTCTTGTTCCCCTGGTATAAATCCAATATGATCATAATAAATGATTTCTTGGATAGACCATCGTAGTCTGTTTAACAAGATTTTGTTTAAAAATTGCAAATCAATATTCACTAATGATATTGGTCTATAATTTTCCTTTTGTGTTTTATCTTTCTTTGGTTTAGTTATTAGTACTACATTTGTGTCATAAAGGGATTCTGGTAGGGTGCTCTCTTTCTAAATTTAATAGAATTCTCTTGGGAATCTATCAGGACTAGGAGTTTTTTTTGTTTTGGGGAGGGGGTAAAGGAGTTGGGGAGTGGTAAGAATAGTTCCCTTAAAATTAGCTCTATTTCTTTTTCTAAGATTGGGTTATATATCTACTTGGTCTTCTGTCAGTTTGTATATTTTATATTTTGAGAGCACTCCTAATTTCTTTTGTGTTCTCAGTTCTGTTATCCTATAATTGGGTATAATAGGTACTGATTATTTGTTATATTTCTTCTGGTTTTACTGTGGTTTCACTTTGTTCATTTACTATTTTATTAATGTGACTATTTGTTCACTTGTTTTATTTAGAATGGCTAAAGAGTTATTGGTTTTATTAGTCTTCCAAAGAACCAGCTTTTAAGTTTCATTTATGATTTCTATAGTCTTTTGGTTTCCAGTTTATTTCTCCTCTAATTTTTAATATCTATTCATTTCTGTTTATTTTATGTTTGTTATTTGTTGTCTTTCTAATTATTTTAAATGCCTATTTAATTAATTACTTCTCTCTTTTTCTATTTTTAATGCATGTTTATAAGGATATGATTTTTCCCACTGAGAACTTTAGTTGCAACCCCAAATTTTGGTGCATATTTTATAATTATAATTTTCTTTCACATACTTACTGTTTCTTTGATTTGTTGCCCACTTTCATGGAAATTTAGATACCACTTAAAACTTTGTGAAACATCCCATATATATAATACCAATTGACAAGGGAGAGTAGCTCCTGTTTCTGGATGACAATGTACTTGATTGTATCAAGGCTTGGGACACTATAAGATCTCATCAATGAGATACACAATCACTCAAACAAATGAAAAGATTAGTCTAGCCATCAATGCTGGAAAACCAAAGTAGCTCAAGAAGGCATACTGCCCATAATACGACAAGCAGTCAGGCATGCAAACCACCAAGCTGCACGGCAGAAGGCACAATAAGCCAGGCCTAGAATAGGAAGAGGAGATAAAGGAGGAACAAACTGAGGAGTGAGTGAAATGATCTCAATCTTCTTGTGACCATAAAAGCCCCATTTTTAATATCAGCTATATTGCTGCTGTAATTCTGTGAATACCATAATATTAAAAAAAAATAAAAATTGACCTGAAAGGCAATGGGAAAATACATCATATAGGTTTAGATAAATCTCAGGATATTACCTGTGGCAGCTTCACCAGAAATGGTATAAAGAAACATCATCAAGAGACATGTATGACCAGAAATAGAGGTAGGCCAAGAGGGAGAGGTTAACAGATGGACAGTGTAAGACAGACAGCTAGGTAGGCAGATGTGTGTGTGTTTTCAACTAAATGGCAAGACTAATTTTTTTTTTTTTGGTAAGGCAATTGGGGTTAAGTGACTTGTCCAGGGTCACACAGCTAGTAAGTGTCAAGTGTCTGGTCTGAGGCTGGATTTGAACTCAGGTCTTCCTGACTCCAGGTCTGGTTCTCCATCCATTGCACCACCTAGCTGCCCCAAGACTACTATTTTGAACCCAGTTAAGTCATATGACTGGGGCAGCTAGGTGGCACAGTAGAAAGAATGCCTCGCCTGGCATCAGGAAGAGTCATCTTTGTAAGTTTAAATCTGGGATGAGGGGATGAGGGGATGAGGGGAAAAGGTTATGCAGGGCGTTGACCACCAGAGGATTTTGTATTTGGTCCTGGAAGTGATAGGGAGTCAATGAAGTTTATTGAATATGTCGGTGATATGGTCTGACCTGTGCTTTATGAAGAACACTTTAAGAACTGAATGCAAAAGTCAAAATGGGTACACAATTTTGAGATAAAGGTTGATACTACAAGCAAACTGGGAGAGCAAGGAATACTTTACCTGTCAGATTTATGGAGAACGAAAGAATTTATGACCAAATAAGAGGTAGAGAACATTATGAAATGAAAAATGGATAATTTTGATTACATTAAATTGAAAAGTCTTTGCACAAAGCCAACGCAACCAAGATTAGGAGGGAAGCAGAAAAATGGGAAAGAATTTTTACAACCAGTATCTCTGATAAAGGCCACATTTCCAAAATATATAGAGAACTAAGTCAAACTTATAAGAATACAAATCATTTTCTAATTGACAAATAGTCAAAGGATATGAACAGGCAGTTTTCAGAAGAAAAAATTAAAGCCACCCATAATCATATGAAAAAATGCTCTAAATCTCTATTGATTAGAGAAATGAAAATCAAAATGACTCTGAGATATCACATCACACCTAGCTAACCCAATAAAACAGGAAAATGATAAATGTTGGAGAAGATGTGGAAAAATTGGAACATTAATGTATTGCTGGTGGAGTTGTGAACTGACCCAACCATTCTGGAGAGCAATTTGGAACTATGCTCAAAGGGCTATAAAAATGTGCATATGCTTTGACCCAGCAATACCACTTCTAGGGCTATATCCCAAAGAGATCATAAATATGGGAAAAGGACTCACATGTACAAAAATATTTATAGCAGCTCTTTTTGTGGTGGCAAAGAATTGGAAATTGAGGGGATGCCCATCAATTGGGGAATGGCTGAACAAGATGTAGTATACAATTGTAATGGAATACTATTGTGCTATAAGAAATGATGAGCAGGTAAACTTCAGAAAAACCTGGTAAGACTTGTATGGACTGATGCTGAGTGAAACGAGCAGAACCAGGAGAACACTGTCCACGGTAACAGCTACATTATGTGATGACTGACTTTGCTAGACTTAGCTCTTCTCAGCAATGCAAGGATCTAAGACATCTCCAAAAGTCTCATGATAGGGGCAGGTAGGTGGCAAAATGGATAGAGCTCCGGCCTTGGAGTCAGGAGCACCTGAGTTCAAATCTGGCCTCGCTTGACACTTACTAGCTGCATGACCCTGTGCAAGTCACTTAACCCTGATTGCCTCACCTAAAAGCAAAAAGTCTCATGATAGAAAATGATATCCACATCCAGAGAAAGAACTATAGAGTCTGAATGCAGATTGAAACATACAATTTGCTCTTTTTTCTTCTGTTTTGTTTTATTTCTTCTTTCTTGTGTTTCCTCCTATTGGTTCTAATTCTTCTTTACAACACGACTAATGTGAAAATATGTTTAATAGGAGTGTTTATATAGAGCCTATATCAGATTGCATGTCATCTTGGGGAGGGAGGAGGGAATATTTAGAACTCAAAAGCTTATGGAAGTGAATGTTGAAAAACAAAAATAAATTAATTAATTAAAAAAATAATAACTGAATGCAAGACGACTGGAGTAGGGAAGAGACTTAAGGCAGGCAGACAAACCAGCAGGCTACTTCTATATTTGAGACATGAGATGACAAGTACTTGCACCTGGGAAGGGTAGTGTCAGATAAGAGAACAGCAAATATATAACAGAATATATATAATGTAATATGATAGAATATACTGTACTATAACATAATATAACACAACATAACACAGTACAATATAAAAGACAACTTATATATAAGAAATATATAAGTTGAATCAATAGGACTTGACAACAAAATGTATACATGTGGTGAGCGTGAGGAGTCAAGGACAACCCCAAGGTCGGGAGCCTGGGTGACTGGAAGGATGATGGTGCCCTCAACAATAACGGGAAACGTTGGGAAGAAGGAGGCCTGAAGGAAAAGACAATGAGTTCAGGTGGAGCATATTGAGTTTAAGGTATCTCTGTGCATTGCCTCCACTTCCTTTAGGCTCACTCAGTTCTCAGCCCCTTACTGTCCGACTTCTGGCTTCATCCTTCAGCCAAAACTGTTGTCTCCAAAGTCACCACCAATGAGACCTTAATTGCCAATCATATAGCCTTATCTCAATCCTCATCTTTCTTGATTTCTTTGCTACATTTAGCTGTCGAACTCTAGAAATTCCCTTCTTTCTACCCTCTCCTTCTGATTTGTGGGTGTTCATGACACTGGTATTTCTTGATTCTACTCTTGTTTGATTAATCCTTGTTAGTTTCCTCTGCTGGTTCTTCATCCATATCCTGTACATTACCTGTGGGTATATCCCAAGTGTCTGCCTTCAGCTCTCACTTTTGCTCTCTCTACATTCTCTCCTATAGGTTCAGTTATCATCTTTATACAAATAACTCAGATGTATATATCCAACCTTACTTTCTCTCCTGAGCTACAATTACATTATCACCAACTCCCTACTGGACATTT